CTTCGCGGAGGGAAATTACCATCTAGTGCGATTGCCCGTCATTTGTTAGATTCCGGTAACCATGTAGACGCACCCAAAGCGTTTCAAGTCATTGCGAGGCCTCAAAGTTCACGGACTTTGCGATTCTTAGAAGCGATAATTAATCATGACTTGAAACCGCAATTATGTGTTCAAAAAACATTTGTAACGCAACTGCTGTTGCCGTGGTAGTGATGATTTCACACGTGATACTACCCTACCATGGTATGACGTGGCCAGACCTTCGCTCACCCTCTCCAGTCCACCACATGCCTCACATCGTTCGGACCATCAAATTTCGGACATCAAATTTTGTCATCTAGCTTCACCTCAACCCGTAACCATACACAAAAATCACACAACTCACTTTCCTCACCACCACTATATTCAAATGACTGATTTCAAAATTCCCATGTTTATTCTTGTTTACATGATCATATAAATATGCGTTTATAGCTGAATGGGAGCATGTGAAATTGATTGAAATTGAAATTAAAATTCCGCCCACATATGTCTTCTTTTGGGTTGATGAAATGGACAAAGGGAAAGGACGTTTTACACAATAATAATCACGTAAACTGCAGTATGCAGTATGTGTACAGATACAGCGAAATGTGCAAACCTGTGTTTTTGATTGCTCCACTCAAATTCGTTACGGGGAAACTGTGCTTCTGTAATCCGTATACGTTATGAGTATGGGGACACAAACGATAAATCTTAAATGAGCAAGACGATGACATCTTTTACAGGGTTTTTTATGGCACAAAGTGGGCATAGTATGTTAGTTACACAATTCGCAACTGAGTAGTGTCACCGTCATACCAGATTCCGTTGCATTATAATTGCCTTTATCGGAAAACAAGTCGCTTTATCGTATCGCCTAGTGATGAATGATAGGAGTACAGATCGAACACCTCACAGGATATAGGACCGTGATCTGAGCGCAATGTACACAAATTGGGCGTTCTAGAAATCCTCTAAGGTGATTTATCAACCAGTGACGATCTTAGATGACAATAGATAATCAGCAGACAGTTTAGTGGTCATAAACACATTTCCTCACCTTGAATCAACGTCTCCCAAACACTGGTATGCTTTTCCAATTTATCGATCCCGTTTTCCAGATGCCCCGTTGGACAGAGGTCAAATTTCGAGCGGCAATACGATAATAGTTGAGAGATTCTGTCATTGATTCGTCGATTCACAGTATACTGCAGACGAACAGGCGAATGGTTGAACAATGTTGAGGGCAATGTTTTGATCACCATCCATTTGCCCATCCACATGTTATGTGTGTATGTGTGTGCGGGTG